ACTGGCTGCAGTTTCCCTTTCACCTGGGTCCAGTTAATCTGTTGCAGATTGGCGAGCTGGCCGACGATGAGGACCGGGCGGTTCTGCGGCTCTGAGTCCCCGGCAGAAGCCTTGAACTCGAGCACAACGTTCGCCATCTTCCAGCAGAATGACGGTCTCTCTTCCGAAGGAAAATGCACTTTAACCTCCCGCTCGTCTCGCGAGCCCTTGTGCTGAGGGCGCTAGTATTTATATTTTATTTATTTATTTATTTAAATCTACATATTTTGTTAGTGGTTTGCAAACAATAAAGTGCTAATAAAAATGCTAAACGTAATACTATACTAACATTAGTTGCAAAGATAATACTATACTAACATTAGTTGTGTCAAAGAACCATGTTTTATCACTTGGGTCTCTTTTGTTAACATTAGTAACGTTAATGTATTAGCTAAAATGAACTTAACAGTGTGCTATGCAGGCCTATTCCTTACAACATTCATTAATCTTTGTTAAAGTTAGTTAATAAAAATAGTTATTCACAATAATGGTAACATTCAACTTTTGAATAATAAATGTTAAAATGAACATGAAATAAGATTAGTAAATGCAAGTACTGTTCATTGTTAGTTCATTTTCTAATGTAGTAACTTACGTGCAACAATGGAACCTTATTTTAAAGTGTTACTTATAATTTAAAGACATAGCAATAGGCTTATAAATTTTAATTACGACCAACTAAAGTGAAAAATATGAAATTTGATGCAGTTGCTGATATTTACGGCCAACGCACAAGATGAAATTCAGCATGTAAAACAATGAGAACTTTATAAAAGAACAGCAACTTCTTACAAAAAAACTGCATATAAATATTACATGTCACTCTACATCTCCCAATAAGCCATTATTGGGAGATGTAGAGTGACAACTGATAATCAAGACAATGTCTTACCAAGTTTTTTTAAAAAAGGTCAAAAATGTACATCTTCATTGTGTATAGCTCATTTATTAGGTACATATATTAAATAACACACAACATTTGTCTTTATATATATATATATTTGTTTTAATTTCATTAAAAACATGTTTACATAAGGTTCAAATAGCATACAGTAGTACCGTAATGGCAGAAAAATATAATATTCACACTGGGTTTCACACCAAAACCATGGAGAAAACCACATGAAATGGATTTAAGCCTTGGATGTGCAGACATATTTTCTCTTTACCTTCTAAAACACAAGAATACACTGTCTGTGGATCTTAGTCAACGTAATCATTTACCCCATCATCATACAGTAGTGGTGCAACTACCCTTTACAAAAGCCAACAACAATTGATTTTCGAAAGGACAGAAAAAAGTAAATCATCATTACAATATAACAAAAAACAGCCCAGGTTCCAGACATTGCTACCAACAGACAACAATATTACTCAAACTCTGTACACGTATTTGCATCTAAAATAAATAATTTCATCTTGTACAGGGGACAGTAGTTGTAAAGTCAGTCGGACTGGGCTTCAGCCAGGGACTGAAGGTCAAAGTTCAGTTTAAGTCTGAAAGATACGGTTGTGACAACACCAATGAAACGTGGACAAGCAAAGCTTTTAAAAAAACATCCAAGTTTAGTGCTCACACAAAGATGTCCACTTTTTAAGGCAAGGAACAGAGAGTGAAGCAAAAAATCTCGAGGAATCACTCCTGCTTTTCACTGAAATGATACTGATATCATGACAACAACACTGCCATTAAAACATAGACGAACACATGATGGTACATGATGCACCTCCGCCGACGTGAGCAGAGAAAATAGCGCTTTGTTATGAACACTCATAAAGGACAATGTAACATTCAGTTCATTCATTACCGCTCATAATCCCAATGCAATACATTTCACCAAATGGAAATAAAAATGCATAATTAAAAGTTTTGTAGAAAGAACATGCTTCGACTATGCGTTCCTCATTCCTCGGTCTTCAACTTCCTCCATGGTTGATTGAGTGTCAGTGCATCTCCTCTCACACACGCACAAACATACAAAAGATTGAGTTGCGAAAAAAACACAGACACACACACACATCCTAACCCATGAGCAAGATCTGATTCAAAGGCAGCTTTCACAGTAAGATGGTTTCACTGTAGATGCTCACTGAAACCAAGAAAGTAGGACTCTTTCCCCAAATTACAAGTTTGTGTTGTGAATTTGTTCAACTTTCCTTTACATTATTGTTCAGATTTTTATAATTGTTACAGTAAAAATACTGTAATACTGCAACTGTCCTTTTTAATTTTTGCTTTAAAAATTAATGATGAATTAATTATGTACCGGTATGAAAAATTAACCAAAAATTTAGGAAATGCTGTATTTAATTTCATATCGCTTTCTATTGTGGTGAAATATGACCTGGACGTTCTTTTGAAGACTCACCCAAGCACATATGATCATGTTCAAGGAGGATACCTTATCTTTTCCCTGTTCACGCTTTAAATTAGATGACAAGGGCGGTTGAGACAAACATGCTGCCATCTTGCAGCCATGCTCATTAGTGCTGTGCTTGTGCGGGACAAATGAAGAAAACCGGCCCTCTGATGGTTCCAACTGAAAGGAACCTGGGTACTAACACTGCCTCTCACTGGAGAATTAAACCCATGAACTGTCTCCTGACACTGCACTCGGTGGCCAGCAGTGGGCGTCCTAATACGCTTCATTTTGTTGTGTAGTACTTTTCCATCCGTTCAACAATTAATCCTCCCTCAGGAATGGTCTTGAAAGTCAGCATGCAGACCTTCTCTCTCTCTCTCTCTCTCTCTCTCTCACACACACACACACACACACACGTTTTTTCTCATACATACATACAGGTAGATCCCTCCTAGAGGCCATGGAATGATTCAACTAAACTTTGTCCCAAACAGAACAAGTATTAGAATAACAATTATGACAAAGAGAATTAAAATGACCAACATCTTGCGGTTTTTCTTCTGGTACTGTTCAGCCTAACAAAAGAAAAGAGAAACGTTTAGTGTGCTTTTTATCTCTACTATGCGATATTACTTATAAACGGTCATGTGGATATTGCAAAGTCCATTAATATTACTCAACAAGTTACTGAAAAAGTAAAGGAAAGCAATTGACATGTTGCTTAACACATCATCAGGCTTGATAAGGCCCTCACCTTTTGCAGTTGCTGCAACCCCTCTTCTGTTTTGACACAAGCTTGCTCGACATTGAAGTCGATTCTGTCGAGGACTGTGCCCTGAATTGAATATATACATTGACATTAATGCAGAATCTGAACCTGCTCTATTTAATATTTTATTCCATCAAAAAGAACACTGACCTGTTCAACAACCATTCCAGCAAGATCTCTAAATATCTCATTAAGGTCAGAGATGGATTGAACGATCTGTCGAATTTCTCTCTCTCGCTCTTCTACTATCACTGTGTTCTGCTGAACCAGAACTAGCTGGTCATCTGTAAATCCCTAAGAGAGTGAGAAAGACCTTAGTCACACACAGACAGATATCAACCGTTAATTGTCAATAATGATTATATGTAATTTCATATTATGGACAATATAAAATATAAATCTATACCACATTTACTCAAATAGTCTGGGATTTAGAATTTACAGCTTTACTTTAGGCATTAAAACTTTATAAGTGTTAAATAGTTTTGGAATAAATTATGGTGTTTAAAAAGGATATCAAAATGATAAAATTAGTAAAACACTGATTGGCTTACTTACAATAAGGTCCCCAATATGTAAACATGTATGTAGTCTAAATACTTAAATATTTGGAATTGAGATGAAAGAATTAAGGATATGCAGAGTATTTGTACAACAGTCTCACTCTGTCATATAATGCGATATCTTCATCTTCCTCCACAAGAGGACCAGAGTCAAAAAAGTGCTTGGATCTTTCTTCACGGTTTTTCATGCCTGAAAACAAAAGCAAATCAAAGAACTGAGCATACAGTGAAAAATGTCAGCATTGTGTATTCAGATCAATTTAAAGGAGTAGTTCACTTTAAAAAGAACTTTTGCTGATAATTTACTCACCCCCATGTCATCTAAGATGTCCATGTCATTCTTTCTTCAGTCGAAAAGAAATTAAGATTCCAGGATTTTCTCCATATAATGGACTTCATTGGGTACCAAACGGTTCAAGGTCCAAAAGACAATTTCAGTGCAACTACAAAGGGCTTTAAACGACACCAGACGATGAATAAGGGTCTTATCTAGTGAAACGATCGGTCATTTCAAAAATGAATAAAAAAGTTTAAGTTTTATAAGCACAAATGTTCGCCTTGCTCTGTTCTGTGACGCACGTTCGTGACTCTCCTGTTCGAACTCGCTCCTCAAAATGAACAAATCTTTGAGTCATTTGGTTCATTCAACGAACGAAAGCACTCAAAAAAAAGATTTGAACAGGAGAGTCACGAATGCGCATCAAAGAACAGAGCAAGGCGAGCATTTGAGCTTATAAAACTTAAACTTCTTTATTTATTTTTGAAACGACCAATCTTTTCACTAGATAAGACCCTTATTCATCGTATGGTGTCGTTTAAACCATTTGAAGCTGCACTGAAACTGTCTTTTGGACCTTGAACCATTTGGTACCCAATGAAGTCCATTATATAGAGAAAATCTTGGAATGTTTTCATCAAAAACCTTAATTTCTTTTCAACTGAAGAAAGAAAGACATGGACATCTTGGATGACATGGGGGTGAGTAAATTATCAGCAAAAGCTTTTTTTTTTAAAATGAACTACTTCTTTAAGGATGAATGGAAGCTAGGAACACAAGGGTAAGGGTACAAAACAAAGATGTCCTAAAAACTGAAACGTTTTTCCTTTGCGTTTTTTTTCACGTACAGATGACAATTCCCGTTCTCACGGATCCATGAAAATGACTAAGAACATTGTATTATGCTGCCAGGCCAGTAGTTGGCAATGTCAATTTGTAAACATTACACACCTATAGACTGAAGACGTTATATGGATGCATGACCATGATGTAACTATTTTCGCAAATTCACGTTTTTGTAGCTTGCATCGTATCTGTATCCAATATACTGATAACAATTTCACGTTGAAAAACTTGCAATTTTAATCCCGTTTTCAAAAGTTTGCCTTTTCAGGCTAAATAACCAGCCAAAACGCATAAAAAGTGCTCCATTTTTGGTTAAAAACGATGTAGTGTAAACTTTGCAATATCATAATTGCACTAAGCCAAATCACGGTTTTGGTTTTATTTCAGTTAATTGCGCAGCCCTAGATCAACCTCAAACACAAACAAGCACTCAATTCACACAAAAAAGCTGCTCTGTCTCACACACATGCAAAACTGTATCACATGTGTGCTTCTGAGGTACATTTTTTTCAATCGCACGTGTATGTCGCACTGTACAACTCTGCCAACAAATATTTTGTGTTTCCGTGTGCATACACCTACGTTTTAGGTAACTTGACTGTGTGTGTCTGAAGTTGATTGACAGTTCTTGAAGGCTCTGGGCCAATGAAGACACCACATTGGTCAACAGTCTGTTTTCTTGCTCTGTACAGTGATGACTCTGAGTCTGCAGCCCCGTCACGGCCCGCTGGCACCTGTGAAACATCTACACACACATATGCAGATGCTGAAAATTGTCTAGTTTTATGATGTGCGCAGTGATCAATTGCTGGAGTGTTCCTGTGTCCACTTTAACCTCTTCAGTTATTTACAGATGTCATAATAAAACATGATTTATGTGCGTGTTTTTATACCAACCTGTGTAACTTCCTGTGTAGTGATCTCGATGGCATGCTCCTCCTCACTGCTGTCATCCAGCGTGGGACGGTTCATGTGTTTGTCGTGCAAACTGGCCAGTTCCTTCATCTTTTGACGAATACGTGTGATTTCATATTGCAACTGTGGGAACAAGGAATTCACTGTCTGTCTCTTAAACAGATGAACCTAACATTCCAGCTGAACTAACATCTTAATGTCATACTTGGTTGAGTATGGATAGAAGACTACGTATACGAAAGCCAAATATCCATAGGTTCAGGATAAAAAACGAAATTATTTTAACTGATACATCCATTTGCATAAAAAAACAGTATAGAACAGTAGTTCTGTCTGTAACTTATTTTTTTTATACACTAAGAATTATTATACACTACCATTTGGGGTTGGTAATTTTTTTTAATGTTCTTGAAAGAAATCACTTATGCTCATCAAGGCTGCATTCATAGGGTCAACAATACAGTAAAAACGGTAATATTGTGAACATTTCAAATAACATTTCTACTTGAATATACATTTAAAATGTAGTTTATTCCTGTGAAGCAAAGCTGAAAGCTGAACAGTTGTGCTGCTTAATACTCTTGTGGAAACAGTGACATATTTTTTCAGGATTCTTTGATAAATCTTTTGTAACATTAAATGTCTTTGCTGTTAATTTTGATAATTTAATATGTCCTTTATGAATAAAAGTAATAAGATATTTTTTGTAAAATCTTAATGAACCCAATATTTTAAATGGTAGTTTAATAATACAAGCAGCATGTTTCTGCTATAACATACTGGTCACATATTTTTGTTTGTCCAAACTAAGGGATGGGTCTAAATAATTTTCTCTAGTGATTTACAGCATTCCACAGATGCCGTCGGTAGAGCTTAACTTGTTTTGAAACTGGAACATTCCTTTAATGTCATTGATCAACAATGGATCCCATCCTTTCTTTTTAAGCACACTTAAAACAATCATCTAATTACCTCATCCACTCCCTCCACCCATTTAGGCGGGAGTCTCTTCGTGACACCGATAGCAGCCTCTGGATCCAAACTGATGCCTGACACCAGGGCCATACGATCATCAGCCAACTAACAGACAGAGAGACAAGACATTTCTTTGTTGAGAATATCTGTGCAATACATTGAAATACAGTAAACCTATAAAATATATTTGCTTTATTTATTACTCAGGGCTAATTGATTTTTTTTTTGTCAGTATTTATTTTAATAAAACTTTGAAAATAATATCTGATTGATGTTAGTCTTCTTATCACTAGTTTTCTCCGCTAGATGTCATCCTCTTATTACCTTGTTACCTTGCTTGCGCGACAGCGGGGACACCGTCATTAATTCGGTGCCTAACATGGCGGATTCATGCGCAAGAAGACCCGAAAGAGAACTAGTGCGCTATGTGAGAGAAATTTTGTGTTTGCAGATACAGACAGCATGCAAAAAATAATTTCACATCTCCTTGCGCTAAAACGGACAAATTCACACTTGGCGAGTATCCTAGAAAACAGTTATGGCTTAAGTGAACGTAAACAGTAGAGAAAGACAATTATATTGGATCTGATCAGTGCATTTGTCTTTAAGTGACATCAGCCTAATATTCCCGCTACTGTCTTGTGTTTTTAAAGTTAATCAAACTACAAAAGACAAAGAAATCACTCACTGCTCTTCACTGAATAACTTTTTTTGTACATTTTATAAGCATCAACCTTTATTAAATTCGTACAATAAAGATTACATGCAGTGTTGTTCTACATTTGATTACTTTATATTCAATTTCTGTACCTGAAACTACTGTTCATCTACCTGCAAAACCTGAAAAGCACTGATTATTTCATTTGTATCTTTGTTCTACTATATTTATTTTTTGTAGTATGATTTTTTTATTTTAATGACCATTTACTTGTCTTTAATTATCTTTCTTTAATTATTATTGGTAGCTGAAAGCATTATCAAATTAGGCAAAATATTTAATAAACAAAAACCATGAGGAGTGAAGGATATAAATGATGGTGTTCAACTTCAGCACAAAAACTGACCCTTTACTAAGCCCCACCTTAAAAATGTAACTGAACATAATCCTGCTATTGTTCCTTTATTATCAGACATGCTCTTATTTTTTTCTAAAGCAAGTCTACGCAAGTTGTTTGTGTTTGGATACCTTCAAATGCATTCATTCTTAAATGAGCATGTAGATCCATATTTTTAAGGTGATAAATTACAATTAATCAATTCTTCCCAAAAGAAAGTTCTGAAAAGCTAGTCTAAACTAGCAACCGTAATCAAGGGGGCGGATATTAGAAATGGGATGTTGATTCAGATCTACCCATAAATAGGTTAAAACATCAAGGTTACCTCGTCAAACTCCTAATGTGATTGGAAGAGCCCGGCGAAGTCCCATCCAATGAGAGGAGAGACCGAAAAGAAGGGGGGGGGACAAGAGGAGTGAGAACAGAGGAGCCCAAGACAAAAAGAAGTGATCAGCATCAAAAAGACTGACAGCAGGACTTGGACAGAACTGGACAAATCAGGAAAAAAAGAAAAAAAGTAAATGCAAATTGTTACTTATATGTTATTGTAGAATACGGAAATACATATAAAAATCCTATGTGAATTATATATATCAAATGCATAACGTTGCTATAAAGTTGAAGGCATGAAAAAAAAAGATTTGTCCATTCCAGCCCAATAACATCTCAATCCTACAGTATAATGTGCTACTGATTCATAAACTCACTGGATATCGTAGGTTTGCCAAAATCAACACATTTTCAATTTGTTACTGAATTTGTAAAATGATTAAGCTGATATTAGGAATAGATAAATCCTATTTTTAACCCAAGTGACAATGTGACAACAGTGAACAATGAATGCACAGCAGAAGATTTAGTAAGGATTTTTGCAAGACAGTGCAAGAAGTGCTCAGTTTGATCACAAGAAGTGCAAACAGGAAAAAATCAAATCAACATGCAAGCAGATAGTAAGGAATGGAGCCACTACACCAGACAAAACACAAGCAGGCATGATATATGATTGGAATGATGTCCGTGCTAGTGACTTCGTCACTCTTCACAAATACAAATATCGCACTGACAGATCTGTCGGTCAAGACCCAATCAATACCCTATAACAGGGTTTGTCAAATCCAGTCCCGGAGCACTGCTCAAATCCTGATCAAACTCCCCTACATGTGATTTTCTAGTGATCCTGAAGACCTGGATTAGCTTGCGCTCAGGTGTGTTTTGTTAGATGAGGGTTGGAGCTAAACTCTGCAGGGCATTGGTCCTCCACTACAGGCCAAGATTTGAGGAAGATACAGGATTATTTAAAATCATGCTGGATACCAGGCCGCCCACCAGCATCAAAGAGAAAGAAAAATGTGATACACAGCTAATCTGTAGGAAATATCTATGGAAGATTGGAAGACAAAACATACTGCCTACCTCTGGAATCTCATTTTTACAACGGTAAAAACATAACTTGACCAAAGTACATACCTTATTCACAGCAGCACCATCTTTGATTTTTAATGGGAATGAAAGCGAGGCTGTGAGGGACAGACATGCACCTCTTCGATTGGCTGTACTGTTATTTAATGTGTTTGTGGAATGTTCTGCTCATGAAACTCTGGCAAAATATCTTTCCCAAAAAATCCTGACATAATAAGCTGTGGAAAATTGTAAGTAATCTAGGAGCTTTATAAAGCGGGTGCCATTGGAAACACGGCAAGTCTATCCCTCACAGCCTCATTTTCATACTGTCGATGGTGCTGCTCTGAATAAGGTCTATATACTGTAGAGCATCAAAAATTGTCTCACTAAAAACTTTTAAAAATGTAGCAATAAAGCTCACCATTACAGTTATGAATTATGTATTTAAATGCATAAACAGCAGGTATGACATATAAAGTGATATAAAGATGCACAAATTGTGATATTATAAAAAAATAATATTTTAACTTTGTATTATATAAACTTGTATTATAAAAACTGTATTTTATAGGCTATGTTTAATTAAAATTATGTTATATCATTCCAAATTTCAGGAATATTAACAAACTACCATTCAAATGTTTGTTTAGTCAGTAGTTTCTGACTTTTGTAAACGAAATGAATCCTTCTATTCAGCAAGGATGTCTTAAATTGATCAAAAGGAATACATTTACATTTTTATTTTACATTGTTATAATATTACTGCACTTTTTATCAAGTAAATGCAGCCTTGGTGAACAGAAGATTTTTTTTCTTTCAAAAACATTTTTTTTTAAATGAAATTTTTGAACGTTTGTGTACACTGAATTTGACATTACAATTTTAAGTGACACACACAAGACTTATGAGGTAAATATTACCCAGCTAATATTTTAATCAATTATTTTTGCTACGATGACAATATGAAAGCCAATGAACTTCTCGTTATAATATAATGCTTAATATTGTTCCAAATACAATGGATCGGAAAATATAGGTGGTGATTTAAGGTAACGTTATATATTGTTGGGTCACTGTCATCATGATGTTCCCTGCAGATACACTGATGATCTAAACGCCCGCAAACTAGCACGACCATCACCTTTTTAGTGACTCCATTGTCATTCCCGAGTGAGTTAAATTAAAATGCGACTGCATGAAAACTGTTTCGTGATCAGCTAGCCGTTTAGCACAGACCTGCCAGCTCCGCACACAGCAAAACAAAACAAGTGGAGGTTTGTTGGACAACTGACATCAACAAACATCACTAGCTAGGGATGTTGTCTAGCTAGCTGAGAATCCAACACACACACGCGAAAACATTCAATTCAGACAATGAACGTTAGACTCACCGCAGCATTGCTACGTGTATTCAGAGTACGACGGGGGTCGTATGTACTCACTTGCTCAGCCAAAATCTGCCGGTTTTGGATTGCATTGTTCCGCATTAATAAGAAGGCATCGGTTAGTCGCCGAGTTGCCATGGCTACGGAATACAAGAGGACGGTAAAATGAAATAACTACAGGCTGCCTCGATGGCTGTCTTGAGATTAGTTACTCAGTTCGTCGTCAAGGCTGCAGGCTAACGTTACTTAACTAGCGAGCTAGCCTGCAAAACGGCAGGCGGGCTCGCCCAGCAACTCAGCGCCTCCGATTTCGAGAGTTTTCGGCTCTCTTTTAGACCAATGCAGTCCTGAGTCTATATCATGTAAAGTATTACAACATTACAAGACCGACAACACAAGTTATCCGCTTGGTTTAGGATGCAAATGGATCATGTCTGCGACTTCCGTGACGTGGAATACGTAAACGTGACATCACAACGAAACTTCCGCTTTGCGCCATGAATATGCAAAAAAGTTTTAATTTATTTTTAATTTAGACTTTTTTTAACCTTATAGTTTAAATCAGTAAAACTCACATTATACAAGCAATATTGTAATATTTCAGTATTTGTAATTTTGTATCTAATTTTGCTTCTTTTATTGAGTTATATTCGATATGTTATTCGACGAGTAACTAAGTGCTTTACTTTTTTCTCTTTCATTCTGTTAATGTTTATATCTTAAATAATAAAAAAAATCTACTGTTGATGTTATGGTTTGTATTTTTTTTTTAAATATGCAGGAAGAATATGGTAGTTTTGCAAATATAAAACTCATATATTTATTAGTTACAACAAGCCATATAAATACATTTATATTCATAAATTTATTTATTTTTTAAATATGAGCATAACAACAGTCCAGTGAGAATAATACGGGGACCCAGAAGCACCATTTCCATTCCATTTTGTTCATTTGAAGTTTCACCACACGGCGGCAGTGTTTCCTACCTGAAAAATCATACACACAATCTGACATCAGTGTGGAAGATGAAAGTGGAAACCTCTGTGTGAACGCTTTTAGAAAACGTTTTACTCCAAAAACGTATGGATGTCTGTTAGCTGGAAATGATAACTATGATAAAATACCTTTCTATAGTGTCTGGTGGAAAGTAGACATTGGGGATCTGCACTGCTGTTGCTTGCCTTTTCCTATGTGCCGAAGAGAGTATAACTAGTCATTAATCTCACTTAACTCAGACAGTGTACTCCATCTGTGAAACCGGTAAACATGAATTGATGTTTTCTATCTATCTATCTATCTATCTATCTATCTATCTATCTATCTATCTATCTATCTATCTATCTATCTATCTATCTATCTATCTATCTATCTATCTATCTATCTATCTATCTATCTATCTATCTATCTATCTATCTATCTATCTATCTAGTTTTGATGACATAACTATTATTACTATCTTTTGATGACATAACTATTATTACTATGTGGGAAATAGTAGTAAAGAACCGAAAGGTGTGTCTAAAAATATGACTTGTATTTTTTTTAAAGAAGAAGAAGAAAATGAATAAAATTTGCTTTATTTTCCATGTGCTAACTAGTGTGACATGCTAAATCTGGGGTTATGTGAGAAGAGCCCACCCCTGTTGACCTGCTGTCTATGTAACTCAGAATCGTGCACCTTAGAGCGACCCTTCAAAGATGTTCTGCAGGACTGGTGAAATTATTACTGCATGCTGCCAATTTATAACAACCTTAAAAAGGGCCCTCCTGCCATGCTACATAAAGAACTGTGACTTACTGCCAGAGACCAGCAGCCAACCCCACAGGAACATCATTTAAAGATATGTGTGAGTGAACGGTTGGAAGTTAAACTACAATAATAGATCCAAGATTACAGAATATTCTGGAATAGAGTATACCTAATAAAATATTAAATAAAAAATATAAAGGCCTAATAAAACAAAGTTGAGGTTGCACAATGAGAAAAGACAAATGTAACTGGAGGGTTTGTATAACAAGATCACTAACAGACAACTACAGAATGTATATTGCATATAAACGTTCATAAATAGAGAGCGTGTTAGGGAGGTCAACCAGGGCTATGAAGCAGACAAAACCCAGCAGTCGTTTTACCTCATCTGGACAGTAACAGAAAAGAGAAGCTGTGACCAAGAGTAACACGGATTTCACAAAAAGAACAGCTCTGTAACCCAAGTCCATTTCCTGTTCAAGACACTCAATCTGGATTCTTACAGTATTACACGCCACGTACTGTACATTACAGATCAAAAGTTGGGGGTCTGTATATTTATTAAGGCTTTTGAAAGAAGTCTCTTATATTCACAAAGGCTGCATTTATTTAATCAAAAATAAATTAAAAACAGTAGGACTGTGAGATTTGGTTATACCTGTTTTCTATTTTAATTAGGGCTGTCAAATGATTAATATAAATATTTTATATATAAATAATATTTTTTTCTTAAATATACAAGCATGTATGTGTGTATTTATAGATATATAAAATAATTATACACAGTGCACCCACATATATTATGTAAACACAAACTTTTATTTTGGATGCGATTAATCGCGATTAATCGTTTGACAGCCCTAATTTTAATATATTTGAAAATGTAATTTATTCAATGACAAAGCTTTGAAGATGTGGTGCTAAAGAAAGTTATTATTATTACCAATGTTGAAAACATTCATATTTTAACCGTGATGCATGTGTATGTGTGTATACAAATCTCTCTCTATAATATATATTCACACATTAATATACACATTATTTTTGGATTTTTTTTTAATTTTCACATGACATTTGCAATTCATTTTACTTTCATAATACAATCAATTTTAAAGTTAAAAAAAAAAAAAAAAAATGAGAAAAAGGGTAGGACAGGACTTGAATTTCAATGAGAAATTGATTGGATTGTGAAAAATGGATGTCCAACAGCAGAACAGACTGACTTAATGGAGTCATTTTACCAGTAATTTTCATCTATTTTGACTTTTCGTTTATACAAGTATTTACTAATCTAATTTATGATTACTGAATAGATCTCCCAGTTCTTTGTCTTCTCACACACTTGACTTGTCTCTCCTTTCTTTTCCCACCTTACAGTTCAATGTGAGATTCTCCTCTCTGCTTTATCTTAACCCTCCATGCATACCCAAACCCCGATGGCCGTCCTCACGCTCACATTTACGCAGACCCCGGCAGCCACATTCATCATGCTCCTTCGGCCCATTCATCACGTCCCCCTGAGCCCCCACAGTTCTCTCAGACACAGGCATGGGGTTAGCAAACATCTCAAGGAATTTAGGGCTGTGGTTGGGTTTTTAATGTTTTACAGCGAGCCTCTCACAGTTCACAATTCCCCACAGCGCGGAGGAACTCATGGGGAATGGAAGGAGAATGCATGTGTACGTAATATGAATGGTGTGTGCTCAAGTGCAAATGCAGACTGTTTACAGTGCTTTCATACTCCGTGGCCTGTGGTGATGACATTTATTTGCCCTTGACGGAAGAGGAATCTCTTTGATTGTGTTCGACGTGAGAGCTGATAAGAGTGACAGCAGCCTAGTGTTTGCCCTGTGACTGAAAAGATAGCAGGGCTATAAGCAAAATCTTGTTGACCTCACAATTTAGGGTTACAATTCATATAGTGTGTACAAAATAAAAAATACAGGAGTCTTGAATCTCATCTTTTGCATGTCCTTAAAAAACTGCACATTTTGACATTCTAACAATTTTTCATTAAGTTTTCAATTAGTTAAAGGTGCAGTAAGCGATTTTTGAAAAACGCTGTTAAAAGTTGATCAACCAATCATATGGCAGTTGCTTCAATGCATTTAGGGGTGTGGTCCTGGTCAAGACAATCTCCTGAACTCCAAACTGAATGTCAGAATGGCAAAGAAAGGTGATTTAAGCTATTTTGAGCGTGGCATGGTTGTCGGTCTGAGTATTTCGCAATCTGCTCAGTTACTGGGATTTTCACGCACAACCATTTCTAGGGTTTACAAAGAATGGTGTGAAAAGGGAAAAACATCCAGTATGCGGCAGTCCTGTGGGCGAAAATGCCTTGTTGATGCTAGAGGTCAGAGGAGAATGGGCCGACTGATTCAAGCTGATAGAAGAGCAACTTTGACTGAAATAACCACTCGTTACAACCGAGGTATGCAGCAAAGCATTTGTGAAGCCACAACACGCACAACCTTGAGGCGGATGGGCTACAACAGCAGAAGACCCCACCGGGTACCACTCATCTCCACTACAAATAGGAAAAAGAGGCGACAATTTGCAAGAGCTCACCAAAATTGGACAGTTGAAGACTGGATTTCAATTTTTAATTCAGTTTTCAAATATGCATATAAATATTTTTACATACATGTAACATTATACATGTGACATGCAACTGTAGTTTATATAGCAGCCTACAATGGCTAATACTACTGCTAACGTGGGCTTGATTGCGAGGCCTCTCGCAGCACCTGTCACACAGCGGCCATAGACACATATGCTCCTCAAACATTCCTTCCACATCTCTCATAAATCACCATAACCCGGCCACTCAGCTCCGCCAGCTGGATCTCCACACAGGGTGGCCAATGCTTTTTAACTGCATTTTTACAGGAGAAACTTTACACGAAAGTTATTTTTGCTGGTTATCTTTAGTGTGTTTAGTGCATTTGAGAAAGGTTTCTTTCTTACAATGAACGCATGTATTTGTTTTGTCAACTTTCAGTCCTTGGTTATTTAGACACTTTGACATGAGAAGGGTTAAAGGTGATTGATGATATGAGGACCAAAACGAATCATGTTTCCAGCCGAAACTGAACACACCTGTCCATAAATCACCTTTAAACGTTCCTCATCATTGAGAAGGCTTATTTTTTCCTCAGAACTGTATAATGATAGTATTTACTGAACAGTATAACAGCCTAATAAATACCAAATACAATTCAAAAGTTCAGGTCAGTAAGAGTTTTGAATACAAATATTTTTATTCTGCAAGGATGAATAAAATTGATCCAAAGAAACATTGCACATTTATAATGTTACAAAGGATTTCAATTGAACATAAATGCTGTTCTTTTGAACTTTATGTTCATCAAAGAATCTTTAAATCTATCTATCTATGTATCTATGTATCTATGTATGTATCTATCTATCTATCTATCTATCTATCTATCTATCTATCTATCTATCTATCTATCTATCTATCTATCTATCTATCTATCTATCTATCTATCTATCTATCTATCTATCTGTCTATCTGTCTATCTATCTATCTATCTATCTATCTATCTATCTATCTATCTATCTATCTATCTATCTATGAGCTTATTAGTTTAGAAGTTTGTTTGAGTAACTTTATAACATAAATGAAAATCTGACACAGCGACACCTTTTCCATAATACCTTTTTAGTTTTATTTCAATGGCCTTAAT